CAAACACTCTTCAGATTACCTGAAAGATGCGGCCACGTGCTCTCAAGTAAAGACATGAACAAAGGGCTTACTGAGCTTCTCTGCCATCAGTCTGGTCCTCAGTGACACCCTCAGCTTCACTCGGCCGCAGCTCCCAGCGCAGGACAGTCCGCCGGTGGCCGAACGCTGGCTTTCACCGCAGGAGGAGCAGTGGGGTTCTTGGACAATTCAGAAAGCCATCCCACTTTAGCACTGCATGGTTTCATTCCGATACAAAACTGATACGGCTAAAAAGATCAGGACACCTAAGAGCCAGTCCCCAAAAGGAAATCCCCACCACATCTATCACACCTCATCTTCCCTGACTACTCAAAGTGGTCAAGATTCCCATGCCAGCTGCAACTCAGAGGGAGTCAATTTGCGAGGAGATGGTATCTACTACACCCTTACAAATGAGCAAAGCGGGGCACTTCTCTAGCCTGAAGGACAGTGGGAAGTGAAAGCCATTCAGCTTAAAGGCCTGATAAGGATCAGTGCTACTTAAGTATGATTATGTGAATAATGACACCACCATCCCTTCGCACCGTAGCGGCTTCAAATGATGAGATTTCAGGCTGGTTCCTTCTGGAAATCTGGATAGTTTGCCAGCAACAGAGCAGAGTCAAGAGCACCCGCATAAAGATATGAGTCTGTAGGAACATCCTTCAAAACTGGGTCTTTCAGAATAGTTAATGAATTGCTTAAAACAATGTTTTAAATGGAATTAGTATGAGTCCCAAATAAGTATTTAATACAAATGTCAAATGCATAACACTATCAGCCAAATAAAACTCTTGTATACATAACAGTTCGTTACACCTTCCCCACTACATCCCATAGTACAGTGTCATGATCTGTTCTCCCCTGCGGGGCAGGGAAGGACACGATCCAATGGGGCAAAGCAAAGGGAACCAGGCTTCAGCTGGATGCCAGGAAGTACTTCCAGATGGTTAGGACCCCTGGGGTATGGAAGGGGCTTCCACGGGAGGTGGTGGAGGCCCCGCCAGTGAGGGCGTGCAAGAAAGGACTGGACAACCACATGCTGGGGGTCACATGAGCAGTTTGTGCAGAGGGTCAGGCCAGGGTGCTCAGGAGGCCCCCTCTGACTTTCTATGTTTCTAATATTAAGACAAATGGTATTTTGGGATTCTGCCTGGGTAGTTCAGCACTCTGCTGGTCCATGATACTATAAACCAGTGCTGGTGAGACTATGGCAGATAGGCCACAGCAGGCATGCAGAGCCCACTCGGTCGGCACGAAGGGTCAAGTTGCCGCAGCACTGCAACAGCAGCCGAGCATCAGATAACAGCGCACATAGAGGGGATACACATGCTTGGAAAGGAGTAGTGGCGCCAGGCAATGACATCATGAGCCGCGACTCGTTAGCCCAGACTCGTCCGAGCTTTCGTATGGCCAGTCACTGCGTTCCAAAGAATATATACATACATACATAGATACATACATACATAAGGGTATACACCAGGGTAGGGTTAGGGTTAGAAAAACAAGGTGTCCTGGCATGATTTTGAAAGTTAGAATGTGTTTGGAAGGGGCAGAAATGATGGGCTGTGCAGAAAAAGCTACTCAAGGAAGGCTTTTCTGAAATCACCCTATTTTCTATGGAACTTTAGCCCTATATTAGGGTTAGGGGTGTGTGCCATGGTAGGGTTAGGGTTAGAAGATCGAGGTGTCCTGGCATGATATTGATGGTTGGAATGTTTTTAGAAGAGGCAGAAATGGTGATTTGTGCAGAAAAAGCTACTCAAGGAAGGCTTTTCCAAAATCGTCCTCTTTTTAATGGAACTTTAGCCCTGTATTAGGTTTGGGTGTGCACCAGCGTAGGGTTAGGCCAGTGGTGGTGAACCTATGGCCTGCGTACCACAGCGGGCACGCAGAGCTCTCTGTGTCAGCACATGAGCCCAGTGGCCCCAGCATCGCCCCAGCAGCCGAGCATTGGGTAACAGTGCACATAGGAGCCATGCGCACGCTCGGAACGGGGTAGTGGCGCCAGGCACTGACGTCACGAGCCACAACTTATTCGCCGTGACTCATCCAAGCATTCGCTTGGCCGGTCAGTGCGCTCCCAGGGATATAGATATATATTTGATTGGACTGGCAGAGTTGTTTTGCCTAACCACAAACCGCATTTTTCAGGTTTTATTGTACTGTTGGCACCTTGCAATAAATACATGGGTTTTGGGTTGCAGTTTAGGCACTCGGTCTGTAAAAGGTTCGCCATCACTGCTATAAACTCTTATCTCCTTTGTAGGGATGTACACCTTGATTTTTTTTCCACTAAAAACTTGATTTTGTGTTCCCACAGGACACTTCTGAGATCTGGATATGATTTGTCCATAGAAGAAATAAATCCATTCTACTGTTCACCAGTTGATGAACTTCTGGTTGAATCTTTACAGCAGCCTGCTCAAACCGTGAAGATCAGCTAGCATCCTTGTCTGCCTATTGCCAACTGACTCCCATCCCCATCTGCAGCACTCCCATCTGGGGAGTTTCCAAGGCCCTGCACGGAGATGCTGGGAATTTCTGAACCGGGACTCCTGCCATGTTAAGCACACGCTCTACAGCTAAGCCACTGGTCCTCCCCCTCTTCTCCATCCTCTCCCTTCTACCTGTCAATGGGATCCAAACAAGACAGGATCCCAGCAATGTATAACTGCATCTCCAGTTATTTTTATGAATAAGCACACCAAGACAAATTAATCTCACAGAAATCCTGATCTACATCATGCACTGAAGGGAGGATACCATTTCTAAATCACAGAAGCCTGATCGAGTCACACGTCACTGCATGGCAAGGGAACAGTGCTCAGCTGAAGCTCCACCAGGACATCTTGTTCCGTCTCCGTGCCCAGAAGCAGCCTCCACAGCGGGCAGGGCACCTGCCAACCCCTGGCCTGCTTTAGGAGCAGCACTCGTTTTGACACAACGTGTATGTAAACAGCTTGAAAAATGAGCAAAACCGTAGTTTAGTCTTACGTCCTCATGCGCCTGTTTTGACAAAAGGGCAACTTCTCAAACATTATTCTGTGACAACAAGTTTTAAGCGCATATTTAACCGGAGAGTGTGAACCAAAAATGCAGGTAAGTTTTCAGGGTGGACTTTATTTCAAGAAGGACTGAGTTTTTTCCAGAAGAACAGGGACACTGCAAGAGCCCCTGGACTGGCCCTCCGCTCCCCTCCCAGCGCTGATGGGAGAGGCCTGCTGCAGCAGCCATGAGGCTGCTCCCTTTTGCTGCCCACCTGTTTGGAGACAAAGGCTTAGCACAACGGCGATGCCACCTGGGTTCCGAGTCATTCTGTGCCAAGAAAAGCAGCGGCAGGGGCCAAAAGCCGAAACTGACAAGAAAAATGCCCCGCTCTTGTGAGGAAGGAGCCAGTGTGTGCGTGTCATGTGAAAAAGTAGTAGCCACTTGATGGGAGTACACCGGAGGAAAATAGAATTGCTTCGCAACTGTCATCCTGATAAAGGAAGGTTTGGGGAGAGTGCCCCTCCTTGGGTATGCATGCTTGGAAACAGTGACTGGGGGGGTTCTGGAAAAGTTTGAGGGAGAGGGAATGAACGGGGGGCGGGGGGAGGCAGTCCCGAGGACGCGTGGCCAGCCATCTCATGCCAGCTCTGTCACTTTCTCAGAATTCTGTGTGTCCACAGGCTGGGCTGAAGTGTTGGGGGAACTGTGTCAAATGTTTCCATCACAGGGATGAAGCTCCCTGCCAAGATTTATTGTGAGAATAGAGGATTCCGAGGCTCACAGCAACGGGACAACCCCACGTTTCTTTTTCTTCTCGGGTTAATGATAATTACAGCAAATGAAGCATACGGTTCTATGAACACCTGGGACTAGTTTGCTGTCCCAACAAAATTATGAAGACCAGCTCCACCTGGGTGCAGGAGGAAACCGCCACCGGTCGATTCGCTAAGAGGCTTTCTGCAAGCCCTCAATGCCGTCACCATCACAGGGACACAGCAGGATCATCAGAACACAAAAGGTGGTTGCAATTCCCAGATGCAACAAGCAGGAGACCCCGAATGGGTCAAATCAGAAAGGTTGCAGAGCAGATGTCTATCAAGCGGGATGGCTCAGGGGGCTGCAGGGCCCGGGGTCTGGGAGGAAACGCACTCTGGAGTCCACCTGGAGCAAATCGTGATTTCTAGTTCCCTTCTTTGCCCAAACACAGCCGAGGTTGCTACTAAAGACACCGGCAGCGAGGAGCGGCCTCCTTGGCACCCCGCCGTGCCCCTGAGCGCGCCTCAGGGACAGGCCGGCCGGCACCGGGCCGCCCTCCGCGCGACCCTGAGGGCACGGCCACGGCCACGCGAGGCGGGGCTCGGGCGGAGGCGTCCAGCTGCTCGGGCCCCCAGCTGCTGGGGGGGCGAGCGCCGCTCCCGGGGAGGAGGGGCGCGCGGAGGGCACAACGGGCGGCGCAGCGGTCGTTCGGCGGCGGCGGGCGCGCGGCGCTTGCGGGTTCCTCCCCGGCGAGGGCGAGGGCGGCGGCGGCGTCCTCCGCGTGGTCTCCCGAAGTGCGCGCGAGCCCGCGGCGTCCCGGCGTCGCGCTCTTCAGGGCTCCGTGGGGAGCCCTCCCGGGCGGCCGAAGGGCCGCGGCCCACACGGACGCGCCGCAACGCGCGGACGGGCGCAGAGGGGACGCGCGCGGCGGCGGGACTTCGGGGCACGGCGCCCCGGCCGCAGGGAAGCCGCGCACTGGAGGCGCCCGCGAACCGCCGCGCCCGCCGCAAGGCGGGAGGGCGGCC